TTATTTTTATGTTCTGAAATGCAAAGGATTGCAACTTTAAGCAGTTGTCTGCTTGTAAGTGAAGCTGTCAGTGGGAGTATTACAAAAAAACAGGCAAACAAATGAGCACAGTGGAAACGGCTGAGGGAGTGTAGGTGCATTACCAGTGTTGACCAACAGGTGGTGTAAACATCTTTTGTAGTTCCTGTACATTTAATTGTGGTGCAGCATATTCGTGCAGAGGAATGGCAGTGTACTGTTATGTGATGCATGCTGGGAGTCCCCTGTCACTGGTAAATCTGCTGACAGGGCAACAGCATGAAATGAGTTTTCTGTTTTGTTCCAGCTTGAGAAGCTTCTGAAGGCTCAGATTCCTGTTTGGGAACAGGAACATGGCAAGAAGGTTGACCAACAGGTGGTGTAAACATCTTTTGTAGTTCCTGTACATTTAATTGTGGTGCAGCATATTCGTGCAGAGGAATGGCAGTGTACTGTTATGTGATGCATGCTGGGAGTCCCCTGTCACTGCTAAATCTGCTGACAGGGCAACAGCATGAAATGAGTTTTCTGTTTTGTTCCAGCTTGAGAAGCTTCTGAAGGCTCAGATTCCTGTTTGGGAACAGGAACATGGCAAGAAGTTTTTGGTACATGGGCAGAACTTCCTTGAGTATGTGCAGCAGCAGTGGGATCACCACCACACTGAAAAAGAGAGAGAGAAACTGGAAAGGGTATGTATTTAAATATATGAAACTTTAAATTCCTTCTCATAGGTGTTGTTAATCTATACGATTGAGTCTTTTGTTTGCAATAGCAACTGAAGAAAACCAAACAGATTCAGGAGGACATGTTGTATGGGACTGCAGTGAAGCCCCCATCCAAACAGTGGATAGCAGGGACTCTTCCACCTGGAAAAGCAAGAAAGGTGATGTGCAGTTGCACTTTTGTTATAGTGGACTGTGTCAGTACTGTTTGTGTAATAACACTGAAGAAGTTGGCCCACCTTTCTGCCTCTCTCCACTTAGCTCACTGGCACTTCGACCATTTCTACTCCCAACACCTTCCTTAGCGCAGCCCTCGGCGGAACCATGTGCCAGTCCTCCATCCAGAAACCGCCTCTATCTGTCAGTAAGGTATGCTCATCGTTGTCCTCCCCACTCATTGCACTGACATTTGCATCACATTTTTAAAGGCCAAATAGACCACTGACCTTAAAATGGGTTACCACTGTATCTTGTACTGAGTTAATTCATTTTTGGTTGCAATAGTCATTTTACTTTCGGCAAGATGTAAATGAGAGGATGGGCACCACTGCATCTATGCTAAGAGGTAGAAGAAGCAGTCAATTATCTTAGCTTAGCATAAAGAGTTGAAACTGGGGAAACGGCTATTGCTGCTCACTGGGAAAGCTAGTTTAACCCTTATGCCTCCCTTTTCGAAGCCTGCAGCCAAAAAGAAACCAAAAATGCACTTTTTCTGCTGTTTTTGCAAGGGTGACTTGCTAATAATGAAAGGATTTGATAACGTGCATATCAGTTTTGATGTTGTATTGATCCAGTGTGCACCTCTGTGTGTTTGTGCACATTCTCGTGCATGCACGTTTGCACGCCTGTGAAGCTGTTTTAATGGCATAGAATGAACGAAATAGGTTTGTGTGTGTCCAAATTCACAACTCCTTTCTCTTACACTCTTTGTTATATGAACTATTTTGTGAGAATTGAGTGACAACATGGCCACTGGTGCAGGATCGGCTCTGCTTGGACACTGTCTGTGGCGGTTTCCGCATGCACACTGTATGGGTTGAAACATGAGCCGAGTGGGTGCTCCTATGTGTGAACAGACATGTAAATTCAGAAATGCACAGCCATGCATAGACTCCCTCTATATTACATCAATTATGAGACACACTTTATATATCATTTTCATGCGTAGAGCATTTCATTTTTTTTTCCATTGAAAAAAGAGGGGTTATGACAACATACTGGCCTTTAAAGGGTTAAAAAAAATCCAAAAATATAATTAATATTTGATATGTATATTTCAGACAGAAGTGGTTTTAAAAGATTGGCTAGTTTAGTGGGAAAAATATGAATTAGACATTTTTAGAGCTGGTTTTCCAAAGGGTACTTTTTGTCGAGAGGGACACTTTTGGATAGATTTTAAAGGATGGCATGAGGGTTAAAGGACACACATTTACCTAAAACCACACATGGTTGTTTCTACATTTCTGAATGTGTAAACAAACAATATGTAATGTATTAATTACTGAGTTTTAGAAATGTTAATAGGCACAATTTAGAACTGAATAAAGTCAGGCTCCCCCCCCCCCCCCTCTCCCGCC